AGTGGAAAATTTCGGAGATGCTCGTAAGTCGCTCGTTAACTTTTGGTAAACGAATCGGCACATGTGGAAAGTTTCGGGGATGCTCGTAAGTCGGTCGTTAACTTTTCGTAAGCGACTCGGCACAAGTGGAAAGGTTCGAAAATGCTCATAAGTCGCTCGTTCACAGTACGTAGACTTCATGGAAAGTAATCAACCGCTCCAATGCAGTGACAAGTGGATGGTTTGACACACCAGTTGATGTACCAGCAAAAAACGTATTAAGTATTGAAACCAGTAGAAAAAGCTCTCATTATATCCCAGACAAAGAATCAGGTAAGTTGTAAGTTAGATGTAATTCACATGTAACGAACTGTTTGTTTTACTCTGATGATTTTTAACTAAAACCCGTCAAAACTCTATATCTAAAGATAAAAAGAAGAGTTCTATCAACTTTATAAAAGACTAAATACTCGCAATAAGTGTCAAAAGATAAATGACAAATTAAATGCAAATRAAAAATTAAAGTAAACACAATACGATAAACGTAATTAAATCCAATAMCATAATTCAAACGAAAGAAAAACAAATCATTTTTAATTGAGTATGTTAACACTATGTTTATATTACTAGTCTTTGTAGYGGGAAATTTGTCGCCACAAAACATTGAAATGGTGTTAAAGTGTGGCCTCGTGWACTCTATTTCTATGGTTGTCTAAAAWACTGACACGCTTTGCCACGGAATACTCGACTTTATTATCCCGCGCTAAGATGATTTTCTCGGTCCAGTAAATCATATCTCTTTAATTAAAAAATGGGTGTAGAAAAACGTAATCTAATTTCCTTGTTAATCGATTCTCATTCATAAATTAAAAAGTAATAAGTCGTAACTAGRCAATCCATTTCTCATACCAGTTCTKCCTTAACCCCTTCAGGAAATCGAATCACACATCAGATTCACGAATCGAAGATAAAATCGAATCAAACATACGACRRTTCTCGTATCAAGCTGTCATTYCTGATACTGCGCCCGTAAATCAGYTATTCATATTATAATTTTCGTTGTTTAGAAATGAAGCCTCGCTTCAAGTACCGTTTTGTGTTCTTCGTGTGTCTCCTGCTA